GGGGGGGGGGGGGGGGGGGGGGGGGGCAACGGTGCCGCAATACCTGGTGCTTGTGCCGGTACTGGCGCCTGCGCTATCTCGGGGGTCGGCAGATATGGTTGACCTTGCAGGTGAGGGGCCTGGGCTGGGTATGCTTGAGGAGCAACCGGCTGAGGTTGAGGTACAGCAGTTGCATACCCCGGCCACTGCTGGGCATAAGCCTGTTGCCCAAATTGCTGCTGCTGCGCATCTTGGACGTACCCCTGATAGCTTGGGGCTGGCGGGTACGCCTGATACTGCTGGGGATGGCCGTTGTTGTAGTTATACCCTGGGTAGTAGCCCGCCCACTGAGAAGCCTGGGGGTAGTAATAGGGCGGAGTAGGGAAAACGCTGCATTGTAGGCATAATCAGATCGATTTGCCATAAAACTCTTCCGCCAGAATAAAAAGGTCGCAGCACGAGGGCGAACTAGAGGACGGCTTCCACTGCGATGTGATCGAGGGAGCGAAAGCGCCAATAGAGCTGAATCTTCAAAAACAACCTCGACAAGCACCGGTCACTGCTAGGCTGTAGGTATCATATGATGCGTGTCCCGGCCTACCGTCCGCGGTCAATTTACATGGCACACACGCTCGTGTGCCGGCAGGATGTCAAATACGAACTAACCCTATACATGAGGATGAATTCGCAACAACGCGAGTACTGCTGTACAGAAGTACATCTTCCGCACGTGATCGCAACAAAGTCAGCACGAACGAGCAGGAGAGATGGGGCGCGCATCGAATACCTTCAAGGGATACATACAGCTACAGAGCTCCCAACTCGTGTTGTCTATTCGTACCTGGGGATCTGCATATTGTTGTGCACCACCATACTGGGAGAAAGAACTGTACGGATCCTGGTAGAAAGCCGGCGCGCCCGAAGGCATGACGCCATTTGGACCTCCGCCAGTCGCGCCAGGAGGTGCCGCAGCGTAGCTGATCTGAGCTCCCGCTTGAACAGCAGAGGGCGTGGGAGGGTCGGGTGGGGGCGGCGGAGGAATAGGAGGCGCCGGGGGTTTAGGAGTCTCTGTATCAAGCTCCATACTCACCTCTGTTATCCACGACTGTGCCATGCTCTATACTCTCTATATCTATCTCTCTGTCGCCCCACTGAGGTTCTTGCCTTGCCCTCTCTGCTCTAGCCAATGGTATATGACTTACAAATAAGAAAACCTCTTTACACGAGGGGCGTACGCGAAATCATGGCACATGGCATACCACTACATAATCCACATCCGCGCAGTCTCTTACACTCACAGTCCAGTCGTCCAGTCCCGGTAGTCTCCCTCGCTCGTGCAGCACATTGCACGCTGCACACGCGATATCGTGTCCCTGATGTTGGCTCATTTTTCATGCCGATGTAAAGCATTGGGAGTGTTACGGGTGTACCATCTTGGCTTCGGCAGCCCGGGATGCCACGCCGGTGTTAGTTCTGTGTTGGTGATGAGCAGACAAGCTGGAGGAAGGCCTGGAAAACGACGGAAACACAGGGGTGACTACAAGGCAAGTTCGTTGCTAACCACACAGCCACACAGGCAAGGTTGAATATATATGTACAGTAGTGCGAAGTCGTGACATCTTTCGTTACGCGGCGGCACTCTCACGTGCCTGGTTGTTCACAATGCCGTTGGCATTCCTTTCCTCCTGTCAAAGCAAGAAAATGAACAGCAGCAGTGAAAACTGAATTTTCAAATCTTTAACCGCTGCCTCTTCTCGTGAACCCCACTTGTGCATGTTTCTATGCCATCGTACCACAGGTACTGCTGTAGTTACAGCAGCGGTGTTGGGTACCGGGTGCTGTTGTTGCTGAAGTATGTACTCCAACAATCACGCCTCTTCCCCTGGTACTGGAGGCATGATCAAAGGAAAGCCGGTGCCAAGACATTCTACGTTGTTGGTGGAGTGCTTTGCATCCGGGGCTTCTGTGGGCGTATGATTCCATTGTCACGCCCAGCAATCGGAGCTCACCGCGACCATTCACATGTCATACTATATAAATAGTGCTGTACCTCACCGCTTGTCTCCGTCGCGTCCCGGCGTCCCGGCCCCGTCGTAATGCAACGCCGTTGTTTTTTCAGTTCGTCGACAAACTTCGCATAGTGGCCAATGGGGGCAAGGGAGGAGACGGATGCATCAGCCTCGAGGGTGAGACAAGAGATATCCCGTACCTCAGAACCTCAAGATGCAAGCGACAATAGAGTTTCAGTCCAGCACAGCGATTAGGAGGTCGCAGTACCAGATCGGGCCTTGCTGCTGTCACGCTGTCGAACGCTCAACAGTCCCGTCTCAAAACTGCAGCCGCGTTTTGTCTCGCGCGAGACCACGCGTTCCAAGCGGTTGCAATCACCGTCAAGGTGCTACATGTACAAAAAAAAAAAAATGTACAGCAGTAGACTCTTCCGGACGGGACCCTTAAGGTACCGAGCAACCATGAACGCTTGGCCAATCGGTTCTTCCACCTAACTTCGTCATAATCTCGCTCGCAGGAGACAACCCAACAAGGAAGCGGCCGTCGGGGGGGTCGGGGGGAGCGGGAGGGAACGTCTATGCGATCGCGGACGGCTCCTTGGAAACGCTGGACTCCCAGCTGCATCACTTCAATGGCCAACCAGGCAACCCGGGAGGAGGTGCATACACATTCAGTACAACTAGTTCTTGTGCAAAGGGTGCTTCCCCCGCCGCCGCCCGCCCCCCCGGGGGGCGGTCTTCGTGTAATACCCGTAACTAATCAAACGGAAAAATGAAGTCTTGTTGACAATTATAGCCCTGGGGTAGCCCCGGCCTCATGTGAAGCCCTGTCCTTTCTATCCCGTGGATGGTATGTATGTGTGTGATGGGTCCAGTATAGATAGGAGTTGGTCGCGGTGATGAAGAAGGCTTAAGTCTGGATAAAGCAAGGAAAGAAACAACGTTTCTCACCGTTTTTTACTGAAAACCCACTCGACGTTCGCATGTGAGTACAAGACAACATGAGCATGTGGTGAAGTAGATCGAGGATCAGAGGGAGTGTGGTAAGCAGAGCATTGGCATAAATACACGTCAACAGAAGCATCGATGCAGGTTCGCACAGGCCCGCTGTCGGAGATTCAAAAAGGTGCGTCACGGCTGAGGCTTGTGATCATGTGCGGAAAGGTGCTGCAAAGTTATTTCCAGCGCTGAATCCCGGGGCACACATCAACACAAGATGGCGACTCTGTGTGTGCGTGTACCAAGAATGTCTGTTCTGTGCAAAACTTTGGCTGTTACTATTGCTGTGGCGGGGAAACAGCAGCAGCAACCTCAGACAGTCGTTCAGAGGAATCCTCCGAACTCGGCAAGCTGCGTTTTTCTTCCCCATCTTTTGAAGAGGTGTTTCCCCGCTCATGAAGTGCTTGTGTAGCATCGCGTAAGTGTACACAAGGGGGATGAGCATGTTTTCATGCTATGCAGGGCGGGGGTCCCTGCTGGTACACACGTTGTTCCGAAATATCTACTGTACACATCGGATCGACAGAAAGAAAGAACATTATTCGTATCTACTCCGTCGGAACGAAGAAAGTGTCCGTGGGGGTAGCTCTCAAGGCACAACAGTGCACCGCAGGGCGCGCTACGGGCGCGCTGCGTATGTTTTTCCCGTCCGGGAGCCGCCAGAAGACCGAAAGAAAGACTGAGACTTGTGGGAGGTAGAGACTCCTGCGAGTTGTGAGCGAGGGAGATGCATGCTGCCCTGTGCTCAAGTTGTGGCTCGCTGTGCCTCCATGGTGCGTTATTCTGATCAGCTGATTATGACGTCAACGTCATATGGAACCCCCGGAGAGAACCCAGGGAGAACCAAAAAAGGCTTGATTTCCGGACCAACATGCCGGCGGCAGCGCGGAGAGCTCTTGACACGGCGCACTGCATAGTGCGATGCGCTCGGGACTTGCTGAGTACATTCTTCCCGTCCGGGAGCCAAAAGGACGACAGAAATCGGTTTAAACAGCGACCCTCGACGAAAATTGGACGCACCAAAGAGGAGCACGCGCGAACAGGCAAAAGGAAATCCTACAGATTGATCTTTATCCTTTGAAACGAGCGTTGGGGGG